TGTACTTAGGCTCGAAGCCAACCCTGCCCTGGCAGGATGAAAGACACAGTTCATGGGCTCCTGATGAAATTAATTAAGGGCAGGATGTTGGGAAGATGGATGGGGGCTGCGGGGGGTCAGAGCTGCCTGGAGTTCTATTTGTAGAGAGCTTGTATCAGGGCTGCAGACTGAGTTCTGTGAGGACCACGTATGTGGACATCAGAAAATGCCAGTCCCTGCCACATTGGGAAGCAGGATGTCCTGCCTCCTCTTTTTTTCAAAGGGGCTTTGCCACTGTAGGTAATGTCCCTCGGTGTTTTAATATTGGTCAATAGCTCATTTTTCTCCAACACTGGCAGATCAAGTATATTCCTCCAGGGTTGATAGAGTGGATTGTCACACACTCACACACCATCGTACACCCACTCACGATCCACTCACACACCCATCACACATCCACTCAGCTATCCATCACATACCTACTCACACTCACAATCCACTCACACACCCATCCACACCCCTCTATTCACACACTCACTCATGATTCACCACATGCCATTGCATGTACACACACACACACACACACCACTCTACCAGCCCTGATCATCTGCCCTCTCTCTACCAGAGTGACCAATTTCCACAAAGAAACCAGTAAGCTGTAGGGAGGTAGTCATCCATGTCTGTTTCTAGAACTTTCCTAACTGAAGTCAGAAGTCACTGGAAGGAGCCACCCTCCAACTTGGGCAATCGGGTGGACTGAGGGAGCAGGTCACACTTGAACCAGCCTCACTGGCGGGCGGGATGGAGAGCAGTGGACACCCAGCCTTGTATCAGACATCCGAAAGCACCCAGCCTAAGCAGTAAAGCAGAATGGAAACCATGGGGACAGCGGGTACCAGCTGCATGGCCTGCAGCAGTATGAGGTAGCTACCCACCCACATCCTCTGTTCCAGTCTCTCCAGGGAATCCCGGGGAAAGTGTCAAGTGTCAACGCCTCCACTTCAGCCTCAAATAAACGACATTTACCAACTCCAAGCGCACACAGTAAACACGGTTAATCTGCTGTTTGCATAATGAGGGCTGAGACAATTAAACCCATTTGAAGGAAAGGAGAAACAAGCAGCGGGTCTCTGATGCCTGGCCCACGTTCCCCAACAATGGTGACCGTGGCGGGTGCCCAGCCTCAGGGCGACACTGGCAGGAAGTGGATCCACCCGCGCTGGCGGGGGCGCCTTGGGATGGTCGAGAGTCCATACAGCCAACAAGCCAAGACCGGGACACTGCGCAGGCCATGGCTCAGTGAGACGATGGATGATAAAGGATCCAATTTTTGAAACTTTGAAGTTCCTGTAAACTTTCCTGAGTCCGCAGCAGATTGAGATAAACGGTCTCAAGGACCTCCACAAAAATCACTGTAAGAATAGGGAGACCAGCCGGGCAGCGGTGGTGGCGCCCGCCTTTAATCCCAGCACTCGGGAGGCAGAGGCAGGCAAATCTCTGTGAGTTCGAGGCCAGCCTGGGCTACGGAGTGAGATCCAGGACAGGCTCCAAAGCTACACAGAGGAAACCTTGTCTTGAAAAATAAATAAATAAAAAATAGATTTTAAAAAAAGGATAGGGAGGCCAGGGACACTTGAGTAGCTTACTGCTTACTGGCTCAGCCCTTCCTATGTTCCCCAGCCCGGGCCTGCAGGGTATTTATAGGGGGCAGAGCCAAAATCCCTAACCCTCAGCTCTGCATTGGAAAGCTCCATTCTAAGGAAGCCATTGACACCCACGCTGCTTGACACCCTCCACCCCCAGCCCGAAGTGTGTTTATCCACAGAGATGTGGCAGCTCTCTGGGTCCTACCTCAGCTGACTCTCAGGGTAGAGAGGAACACTCTGCAGACCAGAGGCCGCTGTCCCTTCCCAGAGCCCTATGAAGAACAGCATGACACCAGGTGACCACTGTCCTCCCTCTGTTCCTGTACTCTCATACCCTGCTAGGAAATGTCAGGCCAGGACTAGCTTCAAGCAGTCAAGTAAACAGAGCAGCGAGCCAGCCAGAGGCAGGTCAGCACTGGAGGATGCTCAGAGCCTTGAACGATCTCATCCCAAAACACCAAATACTCAGCCAAGGTTCTAAGTCATACAGGACAGCAGAAAGTGTGGTCCACACAAAAGGAAGGTAGTTGAGAAACTGCCTGGGAGGAGCCACTGTCATTGAAGACGTTGAAAGAACTGACCAAAGCCACCAGCAGAGTGTGACAGCTATGTCTCTTCCGAGTATCAGCTAACAGATGGGAATTTTTTTTTTTTTTAAGGAGAAACAAGGATCAGATGGACACTCTGGAACTGAAAAGTATAATCATTGAAATGGAAGCTTCCCTGGAGGAGCCAGCAGGGGCCAAGCAGCAGGAGGAAGAGTCTTGGGGACTCAAACACCACACAGACTATGCCACATGACGATCAGAGCAAACGGGAGCCAACAGAGTCCCCAGAGAAACGGTGACACCCTAGGACTTCTGCCAGAGGGCCAGGGAGCGCCAGAAAGGAGAGAGCAGAGCGAAGCAGGTGTCTGAAGACATCAACAGCTGATAAGGACCAGGAAGAATGCCAGGGAGCCAGGGAGCGCAGGAGGGAGGCAGCCTGGACGCGACTGAGTGCAAAGGCTGAAAGCAAGCGAAACCACTCAACAGCACAGGAGAAAAGCAGCCCTGCAGCTCCAGGAGCTGTCAGGATAAAGAGCAGACTTCGGGGGAACAGTGGAGACAGAGGTAATGAGGGGCCACAAAGCGACCCAGGGAAAAGAATCTGGGTCCAGCACAACCACCTTGTAAGATGAAGGTGAGACTGATGTGGCTGGATAAATAACCATCTCATCCAAGCATGCGATTAGAAGGCCTGCCTCGCCAGCCGCAGGAAGGGAAGAGAGTGCTCCAGGATGAGAACCCCATCAGAAGGGGAAGAGAGTGCTCCAGGATGAGAACCAGCATCAGAAGGGGAAGAGAGTGCTCCAGGATGAGAACCAGCATCAGAAGGGGAAGAG